ATAGATCTATCTATCTATACATATCATGTGCCAAATAATGACATGTTGATCAATGAGAAGGTGTGCTGTCAGCTATACTAAGTCTATATTAAGCATATTCTATGATGTTTGCTGAATGACAAAACTGTCTAATGATGTATTTCTCAGAATGTATCTCTTTTGTTAATGATGAACACCCATATTTCACAAGAGTCTTTTCTTAGAATTTGTTGATTCGTGATTGTCTAAAAACTGACTAGAAACTTCGAGAAAATGATACTTGAAACAGTGGACTTTTCTGGTAATCTGGCTAGGTCATACGCTTGAAGAATTCTTACGTCAGAATGTTAAGGTCTTTCTTCTTAAATAGTCAGATTTCCCAGAGAAGAATCTGCTAATATTCTGCTTCGGTGATAAATGCCTGGGAACCAAATAGGTAGAGAGGCCTGAAAAGTTGTCAGCATTCTGTATCTGACATTTAGCTTCCTCCTTGTTTTCAGTTTTGCATGTTGTGTTCCATTGTGAAGACTTTTTTTTTTTAATCCTATCTAGTCCACTAAAGTGATGAAGGGAAGCAATTTGGCTTCAGTGAGGAGGTCAGAGAACTGAGGATCTAAATCCTTGAGACTAATCCTCCTATTTTTAGCTTTAAACTCACTTAGAGAGATAACTGTGAATACTAATTATCATATATTTCAGGGGCTTCAGAGGTATATCAGGTTACCTTTTTTAGCATCTCATACTACTAAAGGATGGAGCTTTTCCAAGTGTGCAGTCAATAATCATTAACTCATCTTCTTTTTATGTTTCCAAAATTTTGCTATTGGCTCTAATTCATTTTCCTTGACCTTGTAAGTTTGTATTTCAAACGTTTTTTTCCTTACTGTTGTTTTAGTGATGTTTCAGCAGGAATCAAAAATATAAATTCGGGCTGGGGACTTAGCTCAGTGGTTCCACCACCTGCCTCGAAAGCTCAAGGACCCAAGTTCAATCCCCAGTACCCAAAAAAAAAAAAAGTGTATAAATTCAATCAACTACCTTTCCTCTGAACCTATGTATACTCACATGACTTGTTTGTGCTCTGAGATTTTCTTTCCCTCCTGTATTGTCATCTTGCCCTGGTACCTTACATTTGACTTCTTTATTTACCTAACTGAATATATTATGGAAAGATTAAATTTTAAAAATACAAGTCTTTATAACAACCTTATGAAGTATGTGTTATACTTATTTTGTTTTAAGGCACTATGTTTTTTTAATTTTGTTTTGTTTTTGTAGTACTGGGGATTGAACACAGGACCTTGAGATAGCCAGAAGGTGCGACACCATTGAGCTACATCCCCAGAGCTCCCAAATCACAAGTTTATTATTTAATGTTTTTCTGATGAGCTAACATAAAATTAGTTTAATATTTATAACTCTTTTCATCCCACACCCAAGACCTTATCTAATGAAGTTATACTTTACTTCCATGTAGTATGTACCATATGAAATTTTGTAGTTTATAAAGTAGTTAATGCATTACATTTCATCCCTAAAAATCTCACTGTAAGAATGAGACATTTTATATACAAAATGTTTCACAATTACATTTTATTTTGCTTTAAGTAATACAGAAACTTATGTTAATCATGACCAAACTGAAACCTTAAGTACAAAGAAAACACCTGTCACTGCTTTGCCTATACTTCACGATTATTTGTATATTAAAAATCATTTGTAAAGCTTAATATCAGCTAAGAACTCTGATCTTTGACAGTATGATTTGACAATCCATCCTTCATCTCATCCCACTGACGAGGCTGAGGTTCAGAGTAGTTAGGAGACTTGCTAAAAATGATAGACTAGAAAAATGGTCAAATAGGGCTAGAAACCAAGTCTTAAATCAGACTCTACAAAACATGTGACACAGCCTAGTGTAATGGAAAAAAACCAACAACAAAAAAAGCAAAATATGGGTTGTGGAGTCAGAAAGACTTGCTTCATGGCTATATCTCTGCTCAGTGTTTTTTCTTAAGCAAATTTCCTACAATGTTAAAGCCCATTTTCTAACTTGTCAATAATTCTTATATAAAATAGAAAACCTATCTTAATGATAAGTATGATATATAAGCATGATACAACACAATAGAACATTTAAGAAACACTTTTAAAGAATGGAAAAAGAAAAGGATTGCTTACTTTTTTCCTGTAATGCCTGCAATTTATTTAGTTCTTCATTCTCTTCATCACTATCTTCACTGCTTGTACTGCTGACATCCAAAACTATGTCCCTTTTAGGGTCTACTCGGAGAAAATTGCGGCATTCAAAAGTCAGATGACCAGCTAAGTAAAACAGAGACATAAGAATAATATAAAAAACTTTTAAGTTTTATTAAATTGGTGGTAGTTTCGTTATTTTCCCTAAATACAAAACAAGAAAAAATTTTCTTTTTTCATTGGAACTTCTAATTCAATAGGCATTTTCAGAGGTATTTCTTAGGGATCTTGGGGTATTGAATTACCACACTTTCCCTTTCTGAAAATACAGTAATATATAAAAGTAAATAAAACAAATAAAAAATATATACTTGAGATTTTATTTTATTCTCTTCCCATACCTTTTCTTCTCAGACTACTGTACTCATGCTTTCATCTAAGTGTCATAATAGTATACAAGCATTAATATAACTAAATACACTTTCCTAAAGGACATGTAAAATTTTAATTTGATATTACTTTCTTAAAGATTGTCTCTTTAAGAAAACTATGGTAGGGTCAGGGATTTAGCTCAGTGGTGCTGCCACCTGCCTTGCAAGTTCAAGGTGCCAAGTTTGATCCCCATACCAAAACAAAACAAAACAAAACAAAAAACAGTAGTTGCCTACTTACTACACAAACTTTTTTTTTTACAAAAATCTAAACATCTGATGTTTTCCCCTTACCCCTGCCCTCCCTTCAAGACTTGTCATGTAGAGGTACAAGATCCCAACAATGAATGTAACTGTACTGTATCCCTAAAATGTAACAATAAACTCAATTAAAGCTGAAAAAAAAA